TAGGGAATTTGCAGAACCCAAACTTGGCCGGCCCACCTTGGCCTGCCAAAGCTCCCCCCCAGCAACAAAACAACCTTACACGGCCCCCTTCCCCTTTTACCATATACGAAATCTCGAAATATGGCAAGGTTATTATCTCATTATCGCAAATTTTGTCTGCTTAGGTGATACTGTGGACATGCGTCTGCAGATCAAATGAAAAAACCCCCAATATAATAGAAAATAGACACCGTAACACCTTCGGAAGCAACGTTAGAGAAAATGGGACCCCGCAAGACACGATTGGTGCAGAACACTCTTATATTATGTGCCGGGTATCAAGTTTGAATGACTTATTCGACCCGTTTCGTATACTGGGACTCCGCAACGGTATTATGATTGATGTGCTTGCGGTTGTGGCATGCCAGCTTGTGGGGGCATATACCCTCCTCGTTGTTGATGAGCCATATAATTTTGGTACGCAATAGCTTGTTGCTGTTCCTGCGATAGGCCCTGTACGCCATAGCCTGGGTGCATTTGTGGTGCCTGTTGTGGCATTCCAGGGCGACCTTGTTGTTGTGGTGGTAGATGTTGTGGAGTTGGCTCCTCTGGCGATTCAACTGTATTTCCATCATCAACCCCATTCTCACCATTTCCGGTAGGCTCGGGTGCGTTCAAGCAGGCCTGATTGATGTTAGCATGGGATCTTTATCAATCCAGGTGAGGCTGAGTGATTTGCGCATACCTGAATCAGATTTTTCCCTTCCGCCTTTGTGACCAAAGGTTGCAGCTTTGGTGTTGTGAAAGTGTATACAAGACCGGTTTCGGATACGACTAGGAGGAGGACTTGGGTTCCTGTTAAGACTGATAATTCGTATGCCTAAAAATAATCATATCATCAGCTACCGCTCTTCGCACAGGATAGGCGCGTCGCATTGCATTTGACGCGTATCATCGTTGACACAAATAACGATTGAACACTAACCTTCTTCATGATACCAGCCTTTCTTTTGGAGAATGTGATGTGGCGACGCGATTTATCCGTAATGAACTTGATCTCGATTTTTCTTCGTTCGCGACCGGGCTTATCATCATCGTCATCATCATCTTCTGCAGTGGCAGGTCTTGCGCGTTTAATTCCACGAGCATCGGATCCAGCAATTGGGTTACCATTACCGACAGCATGTTCATCGAGAGCTGATGGCGAATTTTGGTCGTGTTGATCTGTGATATCGGCCATTTTGATAAGATTTATAAAATATCTTAATTGAGGTAAGGTATGACGAGAATGACTGTTTTGAGGTGGTTGCCGACGACCTTACTGCTTATGGGGAGGTGGTGGAGAGGCTGTTGTCCTGCTTTGTCGCAGAAACCTGGTTAACGAAGACTTGATTAGAATGGTGTGAAATTTTGGGTTGAGCC